TCAAGCAAACTGCAATATGCCAAGACAGTCACAGTCACTTAACTGCGCAGAGTGCACGACAGACAAATATACACGACAGACAGCCAAATAATCCCTGGTGGGCAGTGTGGAACCTGTTGTTCCTCCTTGTATAAGATTCAAATACTGTCAATAATAGCTGTATAATAATAAAATACTGTCAATTATCCTTTTTCACATTCACGATGTATGTATCATGTCAGAATAATTTATAAATAAGAATTGCCAAACCTATTTTTTGCAAATTAAGAAATGGCAACCTCGTGTCTTACCCACAAATGTAGCCACTACCCAAAGCGTTGAGTAGGCACGTAAAATAAATTCATCAACTGAAATTGATTATGCTCCTGACAAATAAACAAGTCACGTGAGATTAGATTATTTACAATGCATGTACATTACATGGCAATGTTCATCATCATCATCAGCCATGCTCAATCTACTGCTGGGAGAAAAGGTTCCCCAATATTTCCCCCGATATTGTCACCATCCCTCATGATCTTGTGATCCACCCAGCTCATACGCATGAGATGATCTCATTGCTTCATCTTTGTGGTGGTTATTTTCTCACACGTGTTTTCTCCATCGGTTGACATTCCATCCCAAGTGCTGTCCACTTGCTATTATCCCTTTTAGCCACGATGTGTCTTGGCCAAGCCTAATTAAAACTCTACTTGCATTTTTGCAATGTTGCATTGAGGAGAAAGTAAAGTAACCAAAAAATAACTGTATGAATTAAAATAGAGATGGTCAAAATGAAATAAAAATAATGAAATCATGACTGTAAATCAATCACAATTAATTAAAAAACTGGAAAGTGTGCTGGGAGTGGGGGGAGGGAACTCCAGTTGAATCGTAAACATGGCCACAGGCAGCCATTGCCACCATGCACACATGTCCAGTTAGGGATGTTCATTTAATTTTTAAGGGTTTTACGATAATTGCATGCACAAAAGCCTATTAAAAAAAAAACATTACCAATCTTTAGCACACCCACAATGACCGGAGTGAAGTATGGTCAAAACAAGCTCAATGACTGACATGGCGTGGTTAGGCCTTCATCTAGCAGTGGCTTGACCAAGTGGTGTACGTTTATTATATTGTTTATATTGTATCTATAATGATCAGAACAATGACATTGCAACATGCGTCTGTAAAAATGCGTGCAATGCGCCAAACAGTTTGATCAAGTACTCAAAAAGTAGAAGATTATAGATTCCATGACTTAGGAATCAATACAATATTCCATAAGCAAACGGTACAAATCGATAATAAAAGTGCAGGAGATACAAAACACCGAGTACGCTTCACCAGTACTCTAACTTACAATACGATATTATATGTGCATAGGCAGCTTACTCTGCGTCAAGAGATACGAGAGAAAAGCTTATCAATATACTCATGGTGCTTTTAGTGATAAAGCAAATATCTGTGGAGTCACGTACCGCCTTGAAGACTCTTAATAGAAGACTTAATATTTACGTTGAAGCCTATTCGCCATTGCTTGAAGCAGCATCGGTGGGGGAGGGAGAGAGCACAGAGGTGGTGGGGTGGGAACGGACTGGCACCAAGATGGCCTCGAGTGGCATGGGAGAGTTAACGCAGCGAATAAGATGCACGACAGACAGACAAATAATCCCTGGTGGGCAGTGTGGAACCTGTTGTTCCTACCTGTATGTATAAAAGATAACTTGACTTTAGGTAGCCAGGCAGACAGCCCCCTTAACTATCGCCCCCCTCTCTTAGGCCCCTCCCCTGACCCCCCTTCCCTAGGCCCCTCCCCTGAACACCCCCCCCCCCATATCCTTAGGCCTCTCCCCTGACCCCCCCCTCAGGCCCCTCCCCTGAACCCCCCCTCAGGCCCCTCCCCTGAACCCCCCCCCCCCCTCAGGCCCCTCTCCTGACTCCCCCCTTCCTTAGGCCCCTCCCCTGACCCTCCTCCCTTAGGCACCTCCCCTCTCCGTACCCGGAAGTAGGTCTCCACCAATCAAAGAGCTGTTTATGTTATATATTTATTTATGCACGACAAACAAACAGTCAGACAGACAGACAGACAATAAATCCCTGGTGGGCAGTGTGGAACATTGTTCCTACCTGTATTATTATTTCAATTCTACGTGACTTTACCGAAAGAACCAAGAAGATGAATATGTAACATGTCTGTATGTAATATGCATGAATGTAACATGTCTGTATGTAACATGTATGCATATAAAATGTATGTTTGTAATATGGACGTGCGAACCAAGGGTGCAATATGTGAAATGGAAGGTGCAGGTTCAGGATGGGATTAAAATTATTTGAATAACACTTTGGTGTTATTAGGATCAAGCTGTCCACTATTGGATGAATGTTTCATCTCAATGGCATCAAATAGCAATATTCAGTATGAATATGTAAAATAATCGCACAAACCCAATATTAGCCCGTGCGCACTGGTGGGGAAAGGTCCTCATTATGAATCGTTTCGCAACGTTCAGGTCCAGAATACCGAAGAATACCGGGAATCACCTGCACTTAAAAACATGTAAACTGATAACACTATAAACAATATCACTAAACATTAAACGATATAAAATATATCAACTGGTTTTATAATTTATAGCACCATAAACGGAGGTACGGTATTTAAATCTCATTAGAAGTATTAAAATCGCACTCTACACATATGTATGTAAAATATCTGTTCAATCGAACCGGGGGTCGGATTTGTGAACTGTGGGGGTACAGGGCAAGAATCGCATTCAAATTTTAGAATAACAATATTGTCGTATTAGCATTTCACTGTGCTTGAATGTTTGTTACGTGCAAATGCAAATCGTTAGTCGTAAATGCGAGGGAGGGGTTAAGAGGTGCACGTTTTGTCCAGTGTTAACATTTATTTCAGCATCATATTTAAGGACACTGTTGTTGATAATAATTCGTCTGGGTATGTCACGTGCCTTGTTCTACTCGATCAACCAAAATTAGTACAATGTCGGTCATACAGGAGTGTGATTTCATTCATGAGTAGTATTCACAGAGTCCCGATGACACTAACCTACCTAAAGTTATGGTTAAACAAAGCAATATTTAGTCACTTAATTCTCAGTTCAGACATGATCATCGCAATCATTTCCAAAGACGTGTGGGGTCCCGCGAGAGCAGGGCCCGGCTACAAATAGCCGGGCAGCAGAAGCAGCAGAATCAGAAGTAGCTGCGTCGCCCTCGAAATGTGTTGTTGCTGCTGTAGATGCTGCTGCTGTTGTTGCTTCTTTTGAAGTTATATACGCAGGGAGGTGGTGGTCCGTGATGGGATGACGCTTTTGATTAAATTATTTGATCAATCGCACCCGATTGACGCCCTTGATCGTCTCGTCACATTTGATCAACTCTGACATTGTAAACTCTGACATGTTAAACTTAGTGAAACATAATATGTATAACCTATGAACTACAACCTATCCATTGTAACGCTGTAAAATACTATTAACTGTTATAGTGTATAACCGCATACATGGAGGTATTGGTTTAGGATCGTATAAGAATAATTAGAATCGCACTGTGGTCGTATGTATGGATATGCAGGATTACAATCGAATTACAATAATTCGAATCCCAATAGTCGTATTAGAATCACACTGTCCACTGTTGGATGAATGTGTGGTATCAATGGAATTGATTAGCTATTTTCAGTATATACACACATTTAAAAAGTATAACAATCACGCATTATAACATATATACAATACACGTGATGTCAAAATCGTATTTAAACATTTCTATTCATTTGTGTTTTACTGAGTGTCGTTGTCCATGTGGGGAGATGGAGCGCAGTGGATCGTATTGTCTAAGCTGCTTTTCGGAATCCGTGTGATAACCCAGTCACATCGCCTAACTCCAGTGACAGCACCTTACCAAAAATACATCTCCCCAACAAGGACAGCCTTCCCGCTGCTGTGTATTGTGTTTATGGGATAAAAGAGGTGTGTATTTTCCCATACGCCTTGCCCAAAACGACTGATTGTCCGCTTAACACCCGAGCCCATAAACCACCATTGGTGACAGTGTTGTTTGAGAGCAGCTATTAAAGTCGCTGCAGCAAACGAGGTGGTGGCTGGCCAAACCATGCCTCGCTGTTTGTCTCCGGAGTGATGACGGATACAAACCAGACCAAGCGGAGACCATGTACCAGATCGGATTTTGGTAACTGATGTTAGAGTGATTGTATTGCAAGTGTGGTCACTACGCGTCTGTACGTGCTCACTCCCGAAGCTTGGCGGTTTTTGGCAACGTAACGGGGCTACGTTCACTTTAAATCGAGGACAATGGAGGGCATGGGAAACGTGTTTTTCCAGCGCTAATCCCATTTATTCAAAATAAGCGCACAATTACACACTGAGATGCACTTACATATTCATGCATGAAGCACAATGGGCACAATACTCTTCGGTATGTTAATAGACATGCGGATTGTACCTTCCAAAATTAACAATCGAATGCAAATATCCTGAAAGACAAAGGATTGGATCCTAGGGGGGGAGTTATAAGGCGGCTCAGAAGCAGAGCTCAATCCCATTTCGAGAGGGAACTTGATGAGGTTGGACGCTCGACTCGTCACTCTGCTGATCGCCCTTCAACCGCGAGACAACGCAGCCTGGCGAGCACAATTGCTGTGTCGACAGTTAGGCGACTTTGCGCCGGGAGAGTTCGTGGCGACATCTTCAGACGGGTTCCAGGCATCGATATACCGTGAATCTCCAAGTAAGTGTCTATTTTCGCGGATAAACTCTTAAACGTGTTCGTCGTCAAATTAGCGGTATTTTTTTGCGTCTCGGTTAGACGCGAGTGTCGTTCTTGTTTTAGCAGTTAACAAAATCCAAAACTCAACGCTAAACATCATTGCGGCCGATAGCGTACATTTGACTCGATAACACCGCTGCTGTTACTACGCTCACATGGAGCAGAGACGCTCTCCACAGCCCCACGCACACGGAGGCAAGAAGCCATTCAATTGCTCTGTGTGTGGGAAGTCCTTTTCACGGCCATCACATCTTCAGAGACACCAGAGAACACACACGGGCGAGAAGCCATTCCTGTGCTCTGCGTGTGGGAAGGCATTTGCACAATTGTCAACTCTTCAAACTCATCAGAGAACACACATGGGCGAGAAGTCATTCCAGTGCTCTGTGTGTGGGGAGGCATTTGCACACTCGTCAACTCTTCAAGACCATCAGAGAACACACACGGGCGAGAAGCCATTCCTGTGCCCTGTGTGTGGGAAGGCATTTGCACAATCGTCAACTCTTCAAGACCATCAAAGAACACACACGGGCGAGAAGCCATTCCTGTGCCCTGTGTGTGGGAAGGCATTTGCACACTCGGTAACTCTTCAAGACCATCAGAGAACACACACGGGCGAGAAGCCATTCCTGTGCTCTGTGTGTGGGGAGGCATTTGCACAGGCATCAACTCTTCAAAACCATCGGAGAACACACACGGGCGACAAGCCGTTCCTGTGCTCTGTGTGTGGGAAGACATTTGCACACTCATCAAAACGGAAGAGGCATCAGAAGGTCCACGATGATAGGAAGCTGAAATCAAAAGCTGAAATTCAAGGTGCTGCAATGAGTCCTGAAGATAATTCCACCTTCGATCCCATGCAGTTGGATCCCGAGAGATGGCTGGATGTAATGGAGTGGCTCGAGGATCGAACCGAGAGCTAGCGGTGACTGAAATATAATGTTGCATGCGGTTATACCTATTAAGCTGTCTTGAGTACTTTTGTGTGTAATTCTGACCCTTTGGTTTTGCAGTTCGTTTGAGAGTTTATTGACGTGCAGGTAGTGATTACTTGGTGAAGTGGTGTGATGAGCAGTGGTTGTGTGATGGTTCAATTCCAGACAATATTGTTGTGTTTAAGTCTTCCTGTTGAGCTAAAGTTGGAATGCATCTGTAGTTAGATCTTTACTAAACATTTTTTTTACGTTTTTTTTTCAAGTATAAAGCTTTTTTTGGTTGGTAATAATCGACTTTAGGATGTACATTGATGACGCGTTCGTTGGACTTCAACATAGACGAACAGTGAACAAACGTGGTGAACTAATAAGGAAATCATGGGGAATTATACTTTAACGCTTTGGTATTCCTGGAACGGATATGGTTTGCATTGTACTGTAACTGTTTGAGCATATGACATAATAAATATTCCATTCGAGTTTTGACGTAAAAGTGATTGCAGATGAATAAAAACGTATTTTAACAAATGTGTGTCCGTTTATTTATTTTATAATGTTTATAGCAAAAACGTGTTTTAAGCGAGTTTTAGGTGGAGGATCGTCGTCACACAAATCTGCCCTTAACCGGCAGCATCTTGGCTGTCTCTCCATTAACATGTGTCCCTGGAGGGGAAAGGTCCCCATTATAAATCTATTCGCAACGTTACGGCCCCTAATCATCAAGTATGACGTGTGAACTGTAACACTATCAACGATAACAAAAATAGTTAAAATAAATAATCTATTAACTAGTTTCATGATTTATAACACCAAAAACAGAGGTACGGTATTATTAGTTTTTAACAAAATAAATGTTAAGTGAATGCGAACCGGTGGTAGGATATGCAAGATTTGAACCTCATTACAATGATTAAAATCCCACTGTAGTCGTATTAGAATTAAACTGTCCACTGTTGGATTAATGTCATGTTAATTTAATCGAATAGCTATATACGCTATGTAAACAGATAAAGTGTATAACAATCACATATTATAACATAATTGCATTTCATATGATTTGAAAAACATACGTTCATTTAAAAAAAAAACTGAGAATTTCGTGTATAATAGTGTACGTGCAAGCGAACTGTGCTCGTATGTACGTATGTAATATGCATCCTTTGGACATGCGAACCGGTGGTCGGATATGCGAACGGGGGGGTGCAGGATTATGATCGGATTAAAATGATTAGAATAACACTAGGGTCGTATTAGAATTACACTGAGCTAGAATGTATGTTAAATGTAGATGTACATCGGGAGTCGTAAATTCGGCCTGGGTGGTGCCAGATTTAGAATCGCATCAAAATTATTAAAATCGCACCACGGTCGTATTAGAATCAAGCTGCCCACTGCTGGTAGAATGTTCCATCTCAATGGAACCGAATAGCAATATACATCTTCTTGGTTCTTTCGGTAAAGTCACGTAGAAGGGAAGTAATAAAATAATAAAAATAAAACATAATAAAATAATTCTCACGACGTTTCGGCCACAACGCAAGCAGCCGTCCTCAGGTGGAGAACAGGTCCGTCAAGTAGACGTAGTCTGTATGTCACGCTCCTGGCTTGGAGCGACTATTTATGCTGCGATGGAGGAGCGAAGAGCGTCTTGACAAAATAATTTGCATATCAAGAGGATGTTAGCATATTTATGGGAAATGCAGATATGCGATTAGCACTACTTGTGAAATGCGTAGGAGGTTTGGCGAGGGGTTTAAAGTCATTATGCCCGTGCATTATGCAGGATTAGCAGCATCAAAGGGAGGGAGTAAGGTCAGAATTAATAATATACAGTATTGATATTGGGCGTGGAGCCTACAAGCACAACCTTGCGCATTTTGACCTGGTTCTCGACGCCCGTCCCGCGCCCATGGTGAAATCTTGTGCATTTCGGGGCGTCAAGGGGTCGCACCACAGCCTTGAAGGATTAGGCAGGTCCCTGGCTTCTTTTGAAGAATATGACCAGGCTCCAGGCACCGGTACCTCGAACGTGGCGGATCCGTGAGGCACCCCGGGCATCAGGGGCTCAGAAACTGTGGGCGGCAGAACACATTTCCTTTGGAGTACGGTTTCCCTTGCCGAGCGCCCCACCACGTCGGACACACCAGACTTGGGCTGTACAGGACATGGGGATGAGCCGTCTGGGTGGGGACGGACATAAGTCTTGAGGCGGGATGGGTGGACGAACCAACGGCAACGCCCTATCTGTATTCATACACACTGCAGCCGTTTCACCTCTATGACTTCAGCTGTATCATTATAAACGATATCACTCAACATTAAATGACTATAAACTGGTTTTCTAATTCATTACACCATAAACGGAGGTACGGTATTCAAATCTCATTAGAAGTATTATAATCGCACTCTGCTCATATGTATGTAAAGCGAACGTTCCATCGAACCGGGGGTTGGATATGCAAACTGGGGTGGGGTGCAGGGTTAGAATCGAATTCAAATTCCTAGAATAACAATATTGTCGTATTCGCATTTTACTGTGCTTGACTGTATGTTAAGTGTAAATGCAAATTGTTAGTCGTAAATGCGAGGCAGAGGTTAAGAGGTGCATGTTTAATCCAGTGTTAACGTTTATTTTAGCATCAAATTTAAGGACAATATTGGAAATAAAAGTTCGTCTGCACGTGCCTTGTTCGTCTCGATCAACCAAAATTAGTACAATGTCGGTCATAAAGGAGTGCGAGTTCTTTCATGAATAGTATTCGCTGAGCCCCCAGATACTAACCTACACACAGTCATGGTTAAACAAAGTAACGTTTAGTCACTTAATTCTCAGCTCAGACATGATCATCGCAATCATTTCCAAAGATTTGTGGGGTCCCGCGAGAGCAGGGCCTGGCTACAAATAGTCGAGCAGCAGAAACAGCAGAATCAGAAGTAGTTGCGTCGCCCTCAAAATGTGTTGTTGCTGCTGCTGTTATTGTTGCTGCTGTAGTTACTTCTGTTGCTGTTATGTATTGGGTGGTGGCTCATTTACTCATCACCACCCATAATCATCAGCATCAACACCCATTATCATCACCAATCATCATTATCACTATCAACTCACCATCACCAACCATCGTCACCACCACCACCACCCATCACAACCAACATTCATCATAACCACCACCAATCATCCATCATCATCAACACCCATAATCACAACAACCCATCATCATCACCACCCATCATCATAACCTCACCAATCATTACCACCACCCATGATCATTACTACCACCCATCATAATCACTACACATTATCATCACCAACCATCATCATTACCACCCTTCATAATCACCACCCATCATCATCACCACCATCCATTATCAAGAAACAGCATCATCACCACCCATCATAAATTAACAAATACACACAGCTACAAACATAGATATGTAACCTGACACAGACATAGATAACAGACACACACAAATAAACAATCTCATTAACAACTTAATCATAAAAAGCCCATATTACCACTGCCAGGATAGGTGCACACAGACAAATCCTTTACACAATAATAATTTACATGGAACTCAAATTCCCACTTAGTACAACCACCTCACTCACTTAAATATAACTACAGACCAAAAACTCTTAATAAAAAACCTGAATTTAAAAGTAAATAAACCAATGGGATGGTGTTTATACGCTTGAAATGTAATTAATGAAATGCAAGTTAATAATTCCTATTAAACAAAAAATAACTACGAAACAGTATGAAGCCTGAGGCCTAGGTATATGCCAGGCCTGATGGCCAGGCATCGCTTCAGTCCTCGCCGCAGTAACGGCGACATCAAAGACAGCACAAAGCGAGGGGGCAAATGTTTAATGTCGAACCGAGGGCTCTGCTGTTTCCGGTGACGCACACCACCCGCACTGCACCACGTGGTGCGCCCGCCAAGCGCGTGGGGGCGGAGCCTCGCTGTAGTGACGTCACCTCTGTTACGTCATAGCCACGCCTCCACCCGCAGTCGAGAGGAATGCACACGAGTGAGCAGCAGAAGAAGAAGCCTTTGCAGAGCGAATTCTCAACGAGGTGAGCGTCCCTGTTGACGATGTGTGTTGTTTATTTTTATTGCACGTTTTGACTACAAACTAAAGCTTCATTATATTTGAATATGTTGGTATTTGGATTTTCTGCAACCAAATTAGGACTATTAGGTTACTTGGCATGCTCTGATATGTTGCTGTTACTGTCATTGTTTAGACCTAAAACAAGTCAACATTCAAAACTTTCATAACTAACCTGTTTAAATCTCATATACTATGATTAACATGTCTATAATTATTGTGTTCTGATTGCCTGCATAATTGTGCCCTGCATTACATGTATTGAATGTTATCCAACACGGGGGAGGAGTCTGCCTTTTAGTTCAGACCCTAGCTGCTGCCATAGACGTCTCCTATCTGTGATGTCACAGCCACATGGGCGGTACCTCTGACATCAAGTGACCTACAACATCATTCTCGGGTTAGGGTTAGGGGGGCCTTCATCAAACAGTCGATTAATACAAATGGGCTGTGCATCAACATGCTTGTCTGGATTAGAGGTTAAACATCACGGTTATGTCTGGCGATTATGTTTAATGCAATAGGCAGTTGGAATAAACATGTTAGCGTGGGTGGATGAGTGAGTGATCTGACGCACGCGTGAGTGGGCAAACAAGCGAGTGAGTGGACTTGTAAAACAAACTGCACGAAAGTGATTTGATTAGTACAGCGAGTGGTCAAATATGTAATAATTGAGAGGATAAGTGATTCAAAAGGTTGTTGAATCTGAGCGTTTTTACAACCTCCCCAGGCCCTCCAACATCAAACAGAAACTACTCCTTCCCAACAACATGGACAGACAACGCAAGTGGGCTGACATCTTGGAGGACTATGATGGTAAGTCCCAGTTACCTGCATCACGTGGCTTTTATGCAGAGGAGGCAGCTCCCTGATTAATTATTTTTCTTGGTGGTGATGGGAAGAGGTAAACGGTCAAGGGTAGCAGACAGCATGGATTTAGAACTGCGTTTCAGCCATATTGGTTTAATTTGGGGTCTCAACTTTATGAAATTGATCTCAACATGCTTACAAAAAATATGACTTGTAATGTTTTACTGCCATGTGATTAATATTTCTCAACAGCAGGTCATGTTATGTGTTAAGAGGTAATTGCAGGGATCTCAGAATTAGTTCCGTGAATCTCCACGTGCTTCGTTCTCTAATACATTACTCGTCCTTTGAATTAATTTTGTTTTCCGTAGCCCGGGAGTCATGGCGCCAGTCGACCACGTGGGGGGACATTATGGATGAAGTGGACCCTTTCCCAGGCCAAAGCTATGAAAATCGTTCCCCAAAGGTGTGTATGGGGTCTATGGGAGTCAAACACCACATTCTCTCCACACTCCCACACCATTGCACCAAAACATCACTACACCTCACATCACCACACCATCTCTTTACATCACCACCAACTCGATACAATATACTCTTAGGTTTTTTCGGTAAAGTCACGTATGTGACTCTTTCTTAGGTTTTTCCCGGTAAAGTCACATACGTGAGTATGAATTCTTGCAGTCACGAAAGCTTCAAATCCAGAATCAATACAATATCATAGAGCCTCATAAAGCGTCAATACCATCACAAGGCACCGTCTCTCCAGAACATTCCACAATTTCA